CAGACCTGCATGTAGCGGTTGCTGAGGGCGAAGTTGCCGGGACCGGAGTCCATGACGCGGAGGGGGAAGGCCTCGTGCCGGCTGACGGCCAGCTTCCGGCCCTGCAGGTAGACGCGCACGGAGGAGGGCAGGGTGCGGTGGGCGTCCAGGCCCGGCTGCAGCTGCAGGACGCCCAGGCCCAGCGCCGGCAGGCGGACGGGCACAGACACCTACGGCACAGGGCACAGCCCGGCGTCAGTTCTGGGCACAGGCCTGGGATGCGGGTCCTGGGCCTGAGCAAGTCCCTGCACCCGCCGGGCCTCCGTCCCCTCCTGGGGAAGGGGAGGGGGTATTACCGGCCCCTGGTCAGACTGCTATGAATCTCAAATGACACTGGGAGACTATGGCAGCCCCACGCTAAGGTCTGCTGAGCCCTGGCCGGTGTGGCTCAGTGGATAGAGCCTCGGCCTGCGAACTGAAGGGTCCCGGGTTCGATTCCTGATCAGGGCACATGCCTGGGCTGCAGGCTCGATCCCCTGTAGGGGGCGTGCAGGAGGCAGCCCGTCCATGATTCTCTCTCATCATTGATGTTTCTATCTCTCTCTCCCCCTCTGAAATCAATAAAAATAATCAAGTAAATATTATTTATTTATTTATTTAAAATATGTTTTATTGATTTTTTACAGAGAGGAAGGGAGAGGGATAGAGAGTTAGAAACATCGATGAGAGAGAAACATCGATCAGCTGCCTCCTGCACACTCCCCACTGGGGATGTGCCCGCAACCCAGGTACATGCCCTTGACCGGAATCGAACCTGGGACCTTTCAGTCCACAGGCTGATGCTCTATCCACTGAGCCAAACCGGTTTGGGCGTAAATATTATTTAAAACAAATAAAAAAATACAGGTTTGCTGAAAGAATGAAGGGCAGGCAATAGAATGCCACGCTGACTCTCACCAGACTATCCCAGACCTCGCCTTCCCTTCAAGGACAGAAACCTCACCAGCGACTCTCCTCTGGGGAACCCCTCCCCCCGGACCCCGGTCCCCAACCCGGGGAGCACGGGGGAGGGCGGGAGGCTGGTGCCGAGGGACAGGGGCCCAGGATGGGCGGAGGCTCACCTGGTAGACGTCAGGGACCATGTCGGTGGCGGACCTCCAGTACGCGCTGACCTGCACGGCCAGGGGCTGGCCCTCGTCCGACAGGACGCGCACCCGGGGCGAGCTGACGAGCAGGGACACCACGCTGAGCCGCTCCTGGTCCAGCGGGTTGAAGAGCACCACGTACCTGCGGGTGGAGGGTGAGCTCGCCAGGAGGCCTCTGCACCTGTGGCAGGCGTGGGGGGGCGGGAGGGTGGGGGGGAAGAACGGCTCTGCCCCGGGCAGCTGGTCCGGCTCACCTGGGCGAGGCGTCCAGCTGGATCAGCGTGGGCTCTGGCAGGGCGTCGTGGTTTAAGCGGGTGTCATCCTGGAATTAAACGGTGGGAAGGCCCTAGCTGGTGTGGCTCAATGGATAGAGCGTCGGCCTGTGGACTGAAGGGTCCCAGGTTCGATTCCCAGTCAAGGGCACATGCCCGGGTTGCAGGCTCGATCCCCAGAAGGGGGCGTGCAGGAGGCAGCCGATCCATGATTCTCTCTCATCATTGATGTTTCTCTCTCTCTCTCCCTCTCCCTTCCCCTCTGAGATCAATAAAAATGTATTAAAAAATAAAATAAATGGCGTTCTTATTTAAACAAACAAACAAAGAAAGTGGGAAGGAGCCCTAGCTGGTTCAGGTCAGTGGATAGAGCGTCAGCCTGCGGACTGAAGGGTCCCAGGTTCGATTCCAGTCAAGGGCATATGGTCCCAGTAGGGGGGCGTGCAGGAGGCAGCTGATCCATGATTCTCCCTCATCACTGATGTTTCTCTCTCTCCCTCTCCCTTCCTCTCTGAAATCAATAAAAAAATGTATTAAAAAAGAAACACGGTGGGAAGGGAAGAGCCGGGACTCGGCCTGCCGCAGCATCCTGCCGCCAGGACACGGGTGGGGACCAGCAGCTGCACTGGGCACAGACCGCACCCCAGGACAGGGCAGGGGAAGAGGAGGAAGACCCCACCCCCCAGCTCTTGGGGTGGGACCGCCCACGCCAGGGGGTCCCCTGAGCAGGCCCGGGGGGGGCTCACCATGTGGAGGAAGGGCGCCTCGGGGTCGAAGCGGTAGGCCTCCTTGTCCCCCAGCACCAGGTAGTGAGCCGCGTTGATGATGACCTGCTTCAGGCTGACGAGGGAGCGCAGCAGCCTGGGGGACAGGAGAGGGACCGTGGGGGAGACGCCCACACACACACACGCTGCCCACGCTGCCCGCGGCCGCCCCGCACGGCCTCTCTCTGGGAGGGTGGGCAGGGCCGCACCTGACCCCGTAGTCCACCACCACGGCCTCCTTGGCAGTGCCCGTGATGGCGTCGTGGTGCTGGAAGAGCCCCAGGGTGCGCCGGGCCTCGGTCAGGAGGGCGAAGTTCGAGAGCGGGTACTGGCTGGCCAGGCCGGAGCGGCGGGCGTGAGCGGCTGCCAGGCTGTAGAGAATCTCCGCCCCGCTGTGCGGAGAGAGGAGTCAGCGCCCAGCCCGCCCGCAGGACCCCCAGGGCCCCCCCCCTGCCCCCCCCCCCGCCCCCGCCTCCCACCCCGGGCCGCCCGCCGGGCTCACCGCAGGTGCGCCTCCAGGACGCGGTCCAGGCTCTTGTAGAACGGCCGGGAGGTGTAGTAGCCGGTCCAGTAATGGTCCTCCCGGTCCGCGTAGGAGAAGAAATCTCCGCTCAGCACGGGAAACCCCGGGGGCTGGGCCCCCGGCTCCACCCCCGTCCTCTTGTACAGGGCGTCAAAGTAGTCGGAGAGGGTGCCAAACTGGGCCTGTGGGGACCCCGAAAACACGTGCCCCTCAGTGCCAGAGCCTCCTGGGAACGGGGGCCCGGGGCTGCGGCCGGGATCCCGCCTACGCGGTCCCTGTCCTTGCCACCCTCCGGCCTCACGCCCTCGCTGGGGGCCTGGGAGAGAATTCTGGCAGATGGGAAAGACAAATACCACATGATCTCACTTATCGGTGGAATCTAATGAACAGAATGAATTGACCAACAAAGAGCCAAAGCAGGGAGGCATGGAACAGACTGACACAGCTCAATGTGGGGCTGGGGGACGAGAAGAGAGAAACCAAAGAACTCATATACTTATAGGCACAGCCCATGGACACAGCAATAGGGTAGGGAAGACCTGGGTGGGAGGGGGTAAGTAGGGGCTGGGAGGATGGGGGGAAGGGGAAATATCTATTATAAATATCAACTATCAACAATAAAAAGTTTACTTAAAAAATAAAAATAGCCCTAGCCGGGTTGGCCCAGTGGATAGAGCGTCGGCCTGTGGTCTGAATGGTTGCGGGTTTGATTCCGGTCAAGGGTACATGCCCGGGTTGCGGGCTCAATCCTCAGTAGGGGACGTGCAGGAGGCAGCCAATCAATGATTCTCTCTCATCATTGATACTTCTCTCTCTCTCTCCATCTCCCTTCCTCTCTGAAATCAATAAAAATATATTAACAAAAATAAAAATAAAAAATAAAGTATGGCCCTAGCCCCGTGGTCGCAAACTGCGGCTCGCAAGCCACATGCGGCTCTTTGGCCCCTTGAGTGTGGCTCTTCCTAAGCCTTAGGAGGACCCTAATGAAGTTAATAACAATGTACCTACCTGTATAGTTTAAGTTTAAAAAATTTGGCTCTCAAAAGAAATTTCAATCGTTGTACTGTTGATATTTGGCTCTGTTGACTAATGAGTTTGCCGACCACTGCCCTAGCCAGTTTGGCTCAATGGACTGAAGGGCCCCGGGTTCGGTTCTGGTCAAGGGCATGTACCTCGGTGGCAGGTTCCCCGGCCCCGGCCCTGGTCGTGCAGGAGGCAACCAATCGATGTGTCTCTCTCTCTCCCTCCCCCTTCCACTCTCTCTAAAAATCAATGGAAAAATATCCCCAGGTGAGGATTGACAGAAACATGACAAATGAATAAACAAAAAATAACCCTTTAAAAAAAAGAAAGAAAAGAAAAGGGAAGCCCTGGGAAGGTCGGGAGGGAACCCCGGTCGGGAGCCCCAGGAAGGGCGGCGGCCACACCTGCACGTGGAGGTCGGGCTTGCTGTTGAGGAAGTCGAAGAGCCGCTGGTAGTTGAAGAACTGGGCGTCCCACTCCTGGGGCTTGTCGTAGCGGAAGTCGTCGCCCAGCGGCACCAGCAGCACGTTGCTCCGGAAGAGCCGGGACTTCTTGCGGTACTGGTCCAGGAGCAGGGCTGCCCTGGGGGGGGCGGGGGGGGGGACAGGATGCTGAGCAGAGCCCCCGCGGCCCCTCTGCAGCACCCCGTGGGGGTGGGGAGTCCCAGGCCTGCAGGTGCCCGCCTGGGGGGTGGGACCCCGTCCTGGAGCCCACGCTCTCCACAGTGCTGACGGGCGGGCGGAGAGCTGCCCTGCTGGGCTGCAGGTATGGCTTCCACATAGCAGACGAGTCCTCCTTCCCTGTGAGTCTCCTTCAAACATACCAAAGGCCCTAACCAGTTTGGCTCAGTGGATAGAGCATCAGCCTGTGGACTGAAGGGTCCCAGGTTCGATTCCAGTCAAGGGCACATGCCTGGGTTGTGGGCTTGATCCCCAGTGGGGGACGTGCAGGAGGCAGCCGATCAATGATTCTCTCTCATCATTGATGTTTCTATTTCTCTTTCCCTCTCCCTTACTCTCTGAAATCAATAAAGATATATTTAAAAAAAAACAAAATATGGTAGATCATATTTTGGTGTCGCAATTCAACCAGCTACTAAGCTACTTAACCGTGCTGGTCAGCTTCTACTTTTCTATTTTGTTTTCAGGAGAGGACTCCTCAAATACCATTTCCCCCTCGTTTACCCACCAAGGAAGCCTTTCAAAGGAGAAAATGAAGTTAGTCCGTGACTGACTCGCTGCACACTGGGGCTGGCATCCGTGGCCCACGGAGGCTGCGCTAAGGAAAATCCTGCCTCACCCTGGCCGGTGTGGCTCAGTGGATAGAGCGTCGGCCTATGGACTGCAGGGTCCCGGGTTCGATTCCGGTCAAGGGCATGTACCTTGGTTGCAGGCTCCTCCCCGGCCCGGGCCCTGGTCGGGGCACGTGCAGGAGGCAACCCATAGATGTGTCTCTCTCACATCGCTGTTTCTCTCTGTCTCTCCCTCTCTCTTCCACTCTTTCTAAAAAACAATGGAAAAATATCCTCTGGTGAGGATTAAAAATAATAATAAAATTTTTAATTAAAAAAGGAAAGAAAAGAAAAGTCCTGCCTCCGCAGCCTGAGCCTTGGTGTTTGTCTGGGAGCCGCAGTTAGGTTTCTGGATCTGGAAACAAAAGACCGCTCTCCCTCCCTCCGGTCACATGTACTCTTACCTCTCGGACATCATGGAAATTGGAGGCTGCACCCTGGAAACCAGTTCGACCTGTTGTATTCTTAAGGCCAGACTGGTTCTGGCTAAATCGCTGTTTCTGATCCCTCTTAACCTGCACTTTCCTGGGGGCCGATTTCAGCCACAGCAACATTCTAGGGGCCCCCGGGGGATTGTCTCAAAGGGAACGAGCCTGCTTTCTCAGGGGCGGAAGGCTGGTGGGTGGACCACGAGCACCCCTGAGGGGGGATCGGGGTTCCTGGGACACGGCAGGTCCGGCTGACTGAGCCAAGGCAAGATGCCCGAGGTGACATCAGGCTGAAGGTTGGAAGGAACTGTACCGATCTGAGAATTATTCACCTGTGGGTCAGCCACGCGGCTCTGACGGTTTGTGAGGGCGGGAAAACGTGCTCATTTAGGAAGTAAAACCATGTGGGAAAGGCGGTTCCTTAGAAACACTCCGTCTCCAGGGAGACTCGTCAGGGAGCTGCCACCAAAGTGGCCGCGGGCCTGACGCACCCCCCAAGCCCGCTCCCCCCTCACGAAGCCCCAGCAGCAGAGCCCGGGCGGGCGGCTGTACCTCTCGGCCACATTGGCCTCTGTGATGGCGCGAGGAGGCACCTTCCACGGGCAGTTGATGCGCCCGCCAGGCAGGCGTTTGAAATCGAACTGGCAGCAGATCTTGGGGTCCGGGCCGCAGGTGTGGGGGACGTCGTAGCTGTAGAAGGGCATCATGTGGCAGAAGATGTCTGTGCTGGAGTCCGAGTCTGAAGAGGACACGGCGGGCAGTCAGCCCCCAGCCGGCCGTGTCGGGGGCTGGGCACAGGGGCACCCGCAGGGCAGCGATCCGCCCCAGCTGCAGGCACCCTGAGGAAGGGGAGGCTCCGCCCCGGCCGGTGTGGCTCAGGGGCTAGAGCGTCGGCCTGGGGACCGAGGGTCCTGGGTTCGATTCCGGTCAAGGGCATGTACCTCAGTTGCAGGCTCCTCCCCGGCCCAGGCCCTGATCGGAGCACGTGCAGGAGGCAACCAATTGATGTGTTTCTCTCACAATGATGTTGCTCTTTCTCTCTCTCTTCCACTCTCTCTGAAAATCAATGGAAAAATATCTTCGGGTGAGGATTAAAAAAAAAAAAAAGGAGGAGGCTCGACCTAGACCAGGGGCGGGCAAGCCCTGGCACGCGTGCCAAACACGGCACGCCAGTAACTTGCTGGCACGCGAAACCCTCTCTTATAATCTTCCATTTACAATTTTTTTCTTAATATCGACTTTTTTATTTTTCAGATCAATTCAGTGTAGGTGCATCTTAGATAAATAAATAATTTTACATAACGTGTATACATTAAAAAAATAAATGTATTTTTCATCATCGTCTACTGTGTTTTTGTCGCTCGAATGAATTTTATTATTTCCTCAAGGTTCTGCACATACGTACACCTTAAGAGATATCAAGTAGGCGTAACATGTTCTCAAAAAATTAGGGCTGGCACGCAGAAGAATTTTGAGTCAGAGATTTTGCTGGTTTTGGCACGCACTCACACAAAGGCTGCCCACCCCTGACCTAGACTTAAGGCTGCAGAGGACGTGCAGGTCAAGGGTCAGGACGCAGGGAAGGCTCAGAAGGTCGCAGTGCCCCCAGGGATGGCACGCCCACACCCGAGGGATGAACAGCAGATCCCACAGAGACCAGGCCAGGGCGATCGCCACCTGTCCCAAGGGACAGAGCGCTTCCGGTGACCTGCTCTGAGGCCCCTGCCCTTCCCTGGGGAGGGCGACCATGGGCACCCCCTCCACCCTACCTGGCCTTACCCCAGCTCTGCCTCCACATGAACTCCAGGCTGTGGGTGGCAGCGAAGTGCTTCTTGATGGCATAGTGCACCCTCTGAATCAGCATGCTGGTCAGGTTGGCACGGCGCAGCAGGTAAGCCATGGTGGGGCTGTGTCCGAAGGGGGTCCACGGCCCAGCCCGAGCGCGGGGTCACACCTGGGCAGGGGGACGGAAGCCAGAGCCCTGAACACCCCCCGCCGGGCCTCCCGGGAGGGTCCCACCTCCAGCTCCCTTCCTGCCCTCACACCGGGCCCCGGATGGGGGAATCAGCCCACAACGGTACCACCATCTGCCAACCCTGCACCCGACAGCCCCCAGCTACCCTCTGGGCCCAGCCCCGGGGCAGACGCCCTCTCCTGAGCCTGCCTCACCGAGGTTCTTCTCCAGCCACTGGTGTCCCTCGATGAGCTGGTCGATCAGCGCAAAGTAATGGGAGTTGGCCTCGTCGGGCATGACCCAGCCTCCGGTGGCCATCTCCAGCTGCCCGGTGCCCACCAGCCTGCAGTGAAGGCCTCACACTCAGCATGGGGGCGGGGAGGGGGGGCATCTGGCCAGTCGTGCCGAACAGAAGGTGCTGGGACCCGGGTGCATGGCCTCACAGCCAGCTCACTCGAACCTGGGACCAAGGGGACGGACACGGGCTCTCCTTTCCCACCAGCCCACTTCCCTGCTGTCCTGGTCCTGCTGACCTGCGGACGCCACCTGAGCGTCCAGGGGCCTGGCTCCTGGCTTTCTCTTTCTTTTTTTTTTTTAAATATACTTTATTGATATTTTTACAGAGAGGAAGGGAGAGGGATAGAGAGTCAGAAAGATCAATGAGAGAGAAACATCCATCAGCTGCCTCCTGCACACTCCCTATTGGGGATGTGCCCGCAACCAAGGTACATGCCCTTGACCGGAATCGAACCCGGGACCCTTGTGTCTGCAGGCCGACGCTCTATCCACTGAGCCAAACCGGTCAGGGCTCCTGGCTTTCTCTTCTCTGTGCTCACAGAACTCTGATCTCTCCTAACACAGTGACCCTCGACCCAGTTCCTCCCATCTCATTCTAAGCCCCTCCGCCATCACGCCTCACCCCTGCACGCGTCCCCTCGCCTCTCCCGCCACAGTGGGACCACAGCTTCGGGCGCGACCTGCACACCCATCCCAGGCCCAGGGGATGGCCCTCCCTCGCCTCCCGACAGCCACTGGCCTCCGGACGGCCGCTCTCTTCTGGGTGCTGATGTTGTCCCACCACTTGGCGAAGAAGGAGACTTCGGCCCAGAGGAAGCGGCGCCGGGGGTCCTCCTGCAGCTTGGTCACCATGCTGTTGAGGATGTGCTGGGTCTGCTCCGCGTAGTACTTGTCAAAGGTCTTGATCCAGCCTGGGGAGCAACACAGGGTCCCCTGAAGGTGCCACACCTGCTTCGACTGACTCTCCCTTACCCTGGCCACCAGAGGGCCCGCTGAGCCCGGCCGGCGTGGCTCAGTGGTTCAGCGTCGACCTATGAACCAGGAGGTCACGGTTCGGTTCCCCGTCAGGGCATCTGCCCCCGGGGTTGCGGGCTCGATCTCCAGTTGGGGCCGTGCAGGAGACAGCCAATCCGTTATTCTCTCTCATCACTGATGTTTCTATCTCGCTCTCTCTCTCCCTTCCTCTCTGAAATATATATATACACACACACACACACACACACACAGTGGGGCCTTGACTTACGAGTTTAATTTGTTCGGTGACGGAGCTCGTAACTCAAATTATTCGTATGTCAAATCTTAAAGTGAACGAGTGAGACACGTGATGCTGGGCTGATGTTGTGGCGTTCACTGTGACGTTCGCTGCGCCAACTAGCGGTGGGGTATCTGAAGCTGGCTCGTAACCCGAATTTTAGCTCATAACTCAAAGCAAAAAATCGGCCGAGAGACGGCTCGTATCTCGAAAAACTCGTTAGTCGGGACACTCGTAAGTCAAGGCCCCACTGTATATATATTTTTATTTATATATATTTCCTATTGATTTATCTGCTCAATAAAAATGTGTATATAGCCCTAACTGG